TATCTGGGATTTTACTTTGTATAATAAAACATATTAATAATATTACATATATATTGCATTGCAATGTTGCTGCACAGTTGCGTTGTTATATTGCCGCAAGCGGACATTTTACCATTGTTGCAACGTTGCAGTAGCATTGCAGCAACATTTTGCAACATTGTTGCAATGTCACAATATTGCAAAACAATGATGCTGCAACGTTGCTGTGCTGTATGGGAAGTAATTATCAATGATTCTTAATATGATATTTCTATAAGGGAAGTTATCACCTATAATAGGAATGTTACATGAACTAACGAAAATGTTATTGATCATAAATTTAATGTTAATTTAATCACGTGAGATGTTATGATATCCTCGTGTAATGCAAGCTGCAGTTGTATTGGAGTTATTTCTTTATTAGTCGTAAGTAATGCCACATTTTTAGCTTCTCTGAAAGAGAAAAAGTTTTGCTCTCGGGAATTATTCAGTTTAGGCCCCTCACCTTTCGATGAAAGTAGATGTAATCGACGCGTTTTTACACGAGAAGCGACTTTTTCATCTGACAAACTCGTCGCTCTCTACTGCGACGCGAAATATTAGCCAACAAAGTTGACCACTATTAAGGTTAGGAAAACTGTCACTCTCTCTTTCTCTCTCTCTCTCTCTCTCTCTCTCTCTCTCTCTCTCTCTCTGTTCATTTTACTTGGATTCAGACCTTTTTGCGGCCCTTTCATTAAAGTATCAAAAAGTACGTTTCTCAAAAGAATCACAGGTCCGAACGTGTTCGAACACATCTTAATTTAACGGCGGTTAAACCGGATGGAAAATTCACACCGACGATAAACAGCAAGATGTATATATTCCATAGTGCACTTGTGCATTTCCTATAGTTTTCGAAATATTAATAAAAAGATGCCTGTCTCTAGCCATGTACATGCTTTATATCTTATACTTATCTTTAGGATGTGTGTACGATATATTTTATACTTATCATATTTGAGTAAGATATCTCTTGGATATTGTATACGAGGATATTTTCGAAATTTATTCATTATGATATACTGATATTATCAGGAGATTGAGATACATTTCGCATATCCGCGATGATTTTAGTATATCCCATAGATATCAATTGCTGTGTGGATAAATATATGCAACTTTACAAAAACATGTCATTGTGCAAAATATATAAGTGTATTTATCCACAAATCACTTGGATAATAACGAATTGTAAAAATGACAATTACAATCGCAATTAATTACAATTTTTACAATACAGTCATTAGAAAAAGAAAGAATATGGGCACTCAGCTACCTTTAAATCTACTTGTCGACCGTAAAATAGTCGCGATATCATCCTCGATATCTTGTCCCATACAGCAATTGATATCTATAGGATATACTAAAATCATCGCGGATATGCGAAATATATCTCAATCTTCTGATAATATCATCAGTATATCATAATGAATAAATTTCGAAAATATCCCCGTATACAATATCCAAGAGATATCTTATCTCAAATACAATAATGTGTAAAATATATCGTACAGATATCCTAAAGATGAGTATAAGATATAAAGCATACACATGACTAGAGACAGGCATCTTTTTATTAATATTTCGAAAACTATAGGAAATGCACAAGTAACTATGGAGCATATACATCTTGCTGTTTGTCGTCGGTGTGAGTTTTCCATCCGGTTTAACCGCCGTTACATTAAGACGTGTTCGAACACGTTCGGAACTGTGATTCTTTTGAGAAACGTACCTTTTGATACTTTGATGAAAGGGCCGCAAAAAAGGTCTGAATTCAAGTAAAATGAACAAAGAGAGAGAGAGAAAGAGAGAGAGAGAAAGAGAGAGAGAGAAAGAGAAAGAGAAAGAGTTTTCCTAACCTTAATAGTGGTCAACTTTGTCGGCTAATATTTCGCGTCGCAGTAGAGAGCGACGAGTTTATCAGATGAAAAAGTCGTTTCTCGTGTAAAAACGCGTCGATTAAATCTACTTTCATCGAAAGGTGAGGGGCCTAAACTGAATAATTCCCGAGAGCAAAACTTTTTCCCTTTCAGAAAAGGTAAAAATATGGCGTTACTTGCAACTAATAAAGAAATAACTCCAATACAACTGCAGCTTGCATTGCACGAGGATATCATAACATCTCACGTGAATAAATTAACATTAAATTTATGATCAATAACATTTGCGTTAGTTCATGTAACATTCCTATTATAGGTGATAACTTATAGTTATTAGATAATATATATAAACAGAATACTCATAACAATCTATCAGTAAACATCTGTTAGTTGTAATTCCTGATTGAACAATATAGGTTTTATATAACCTGTGTGTTATACAATAAACTGAAAGATATTCCAATTCATGTAAAAAATCTGAAAAATTGTGAGAATTTTCTGAGATTCTGAGAAATCTTTCCACCAAAGATATATTTATTGTATTTGGTGTAATTTTATTTTGTATAATTTCAGCTATAATACTAATGTTTACATTATATTAATAATTGTTTAATATAAATTAGTATATCGGTATAAAATTGACTTATTAAGCACATTTTGTACTAATTATATATTTATTGATATGCATATTAAGTAAGCAGTATAAATTTAATCATTATTATTATCAAAAACATTCTTCCAGATATATTCAAACTATCTACCATAATCATACTATTATATTTGTAAGATATACGTGCGATATATCTTTCGGGGTTTTCCCTATACACGGTAATAATCAGAGATCTCAGGGATATCATACAAATACCCAGATAGCCAAACCTGCGCGAACAGATTTCGACCAGAGTTTGCTATCAACTTTTGATGGCAAATAGATAACAAATTTGATGCAGGATCTGTTATATCAAATCTTGCTGCCAAATTGCCGCTTGATATGCGGCAGAGCTTGTTGTCGGATAATTGCTACAGATTTATAGCAAAAACCGCGCAGAGCTTGTAGCGATTTGACGGCAGATTGGCAGCAGAAACCGCGCAGATCTTTCTGCGCTGCAAGCTTTGCACGGTTTTTGCTGCAAATTTTGCACCAATTGTCCGATAGCAAGATCTGTCGCCAAAACCGTAGCCTAATGTAGACACAGATGGCTATGGTTTTGCTATGAGTTTTTGATCAAATTTGCTGCCAATCTGCATGCAGTTTACGCTCAATTTGTTTACTGGGTATATTTCGCTACAATATACGATATCTATACGTGTTCGTAACTGCGGACATTAGTGTATTCTAGTAATATCTCTCATATATCCATGACTTCTATGGGATATCTGGAGGATATTGCAATATCCCGGCAAAATATCTTTAGGAAATTTTCCTTTGCTATGTGGGTGTCAGTTGTACGGTCGGCATTGTTTATATCTATGGGGAATAAGAAGGAATGCTCAATCATCGCAGACTATCCCTCAGTTTTTATTTAACTGCGTCTTATTTTATTACGATCTTCGTTTATTAGAATACAATAAATCATATACATACAATTATATATGCGGTAATTTACTTAACAAAATAATAGCTTAACTAATTATCAGTTAAGTAACTATTTATATACCGACCGATGCCGCTTATCAGTGGTACAATAATGCCTTATCCGGTGCGTGTGCAATCGAATATTTTTATTCGAACATCCCACTTTATCGTTTGATCCGATTTTGCTTTTTTTTTCTTTTTCAAGAAAGTAAATAGAAAAATCTGCAAATGTCATGTTGCCTTCTTGTAAATATACCGTATGCACGATATATCCATTTAATGCACGGTGTCACCATAATGTACGTCATTGAGTAAAATTTGCCTATTATTTCATAAAGTCATTATTGAAACTCGGAAACTTGTTTCTATTTCCTTTCTATATTCCCAATGTAGAAAGTGGTCTCTTCCTTGTTATCCGCTAGCAATTGTCCTATATATTCATGATTTCTCACAAGACCAGTCTTTTTCAAGTACTTACTAATGAGCGTACGAACGCCGAAAATTCAATTAAGGCCTCTGTATATACTCGCGTAGGTTATCCTTGTTCGATGGTGTCAGAAACGAGAAGTCGAGAAGCGAGAAATCGCATTACAATTCTGGTGTTATACGTTGAAGTAAAAAGATATATATCTGTTAAGAATAAAGAATTATTAGATAAGACAGATATAGGACAGATATAGAAAAACAAGGAAGAAGAGAGAGAAAGAAAACATCTTGAAAGGATTCTCTTTTATTTTTCACAGAAACCAAACAAATTATAATCAAGAGAGGATGAAAGAGATGAGTAAAAAGAGAAAAAAACTACTTGATTGAATTTGTATGTTTTAATGATACAACGTTGAGGGAAAAAGAGAAAGACATACAGTGAAAGAAAGTGTGAGACAGAAAGAATAAAACCTCGTTGAATTGCTGCAGTAAGCATTTCGTTGCATATGAATGTAGGACGTAAATTATTCGAAGAGAATTTTCAGATTGTACCCAGACGGCACAAATGCCAAAATCGAGTCATAAGCCGTCTTTAAGACAACTTTAAGACATCTTTAAGACAATACTTTATTATATCTGAAAGACAACTTAAAGACGTCTTATGTCCCACTTTTAGACATTGTGCTATCTGGGTAGTCATTAAACATGAAAACATGATTTTTTTATTCAAAATAATTAATTATTGTTGTTATTAATAATAATTATTAACTTTGAATGTATATATACATCATACCACACGCAAGCATACCTAACCCCTTGTCCACAACTTTGCTTTAATCTTTAAGCCGTAAGAAATTGACTAACTACAGTCGATTATTTTAAAAATAATTAATGTCTGGTTAGTCAATATCTTACGGTTTAAAGATTAAAGCAAAGTTGTGGACAAGGGAATACACATAATCAAATAACACGAGATACGGCCGAGGTACGGATGTGCAACACATACGTACACAATACAACACATGTATACACACGCGCGTGCATACATACACTCATTCACTCATTTACCCATCTTAAAACAAGCGATGGGCACGACTTTACATTCATCGGTAAAAGAAAAAAAGAGAAAAAATTTTTGGTCCAATATGCGCATCAGCTCACGAATATTATCGATCAACAAATCGGCAACAATGAATATAGTAGAAGCAGCAACAAATGAATATAGTAGAATGAAAATGAAGGCAAGAGAAAGAGAACACGAATGAAGAGAACCTGCGAGAATGGAATAGTACGTACGGGAGACAAAGAATGGGTGCGTTCAGCGAATTCAACAGTTGCATAATAGTTGAGCAATTCGTCAATGTAATTGGTCTAGATTTAGGGATCTAACAGTAAGAACCAATAATCGTTGATTGCTTACTGAGCGCTTTTTCCGCTGAACGCGCCCAATGCTCACTGTGAATATTTTTATTAAATTTTCGAGTTTAATGATTTCCATCGAAACAATTAATAAATAAACATAAATATAAAAGTGGAAGAATCCTAAACATATTCAGTAGATTGTGCCCGTTATGTTGTGTAGATTATGTCAGTAAGGGTGCGTTCGCTTTTCGCGCTATAAGCGTCATCCTATCTTTATCGTTCATTACATGCGGGAAGAAGATAGAATGACAGCGCATGAATGATAGAATGATCGCTCAAAGCAAACACAGCCTAAATGTAGTTCTAAAATCTCCGCTACGAGCCGCCACCGTTTCTGCTAACAAATTGAGATCGTAATGCACTTCAAAGATTAAGTTAGGTTAGGCGCACTGAAATTTATACTGGAACACGCGCTGCCTCTTAAGGCGTGCGGAATGAGAGAGAGGTTCCTTGTTTCCTTTCTTATCCTTGTCTGGTTCACAGTATACTCGAGAGTGGGGAGAATGATACAATCCAAGCTAAAAATTAGAGATAATATGAAAAGCAATGACCACTAAATGGCAATGACTTAAGCTTACGAACGAAAGTTTAAGATATAAAAAAATATATATATATTTTTTCTCATTTATTAATTAATTTATTATTAAGAAAAACAAAGCAAAGATGGTTCCTAATCCAAAGATTTGGCTTATGTTTAGAAATCAACCGACTTAGTTTTTGGTTCAGACTGTACTAGATAAAGACAGAGCGCTGTTAGAGACCTACAAGCATGCTCTCTCTCATCCCGCAAACCCTAGAGATAGCGCGTGTTCCAGGTAGTATATATTTCAGTGGTTGGGTGTATCTGTACTGTTCAAATAGCAAAATTCAATAGCAAGTCAGATAACATTTTACTTACAAGTGGCACAGTTCAACGATAGATTACATAACTTTTCTATTTTGAAAATATTAGAACTTCAATAACTGATGAGACAATGAAGCACTATAATTCAACAGTATCAAAGGACATTCAAGTCTGTTCTTTTCAGCTGCACTGCTGAACTGGTGAAATAAGTTAAAGTGAGAAAAGCATGGACGTAAGAATATATAGACGGAGCAAATTGTCGCGGGGTGAAGCCCAAGGGATGAGAGGAATGATTTTATGTATTATAGTGGAGTTGCGGTACCAAGATGGTAACAGCGATGGTCGCTGTTCTTATACACTGAAAATAGACACAAACTCCGGCATTAACATGACCGCGACGATGTAATCCTCTTGTCCCTTGAGCTTCACAACCCCTCGTCTATAATCGCACTTTTCACTATGTCCATGGAGACAAATATATCTTTTCTCACTCTAACTTATTGCGCCAGTTCAGCAGTGCAGCTGAAAAGAACAGACTAATAGTAAATAATCGTCTATACTGCGTTAAAGTGTAGGAAATGTAACAAAATTATACCCAGATTCTACTCTCTGTAACTAATTTCACTTGGATTTGCAAAAATCATGGATATACGATTTTTCGCTTCTGACATCATCAAAGACAGCGAGTATCTAGAGACTTTAAAATAATATTATTCTCGGCGTTCATATAAACTGAAAAAATCGATTGTAAGAACTGATACTTTCAGAATTTCTTCTTCATAATCTGGATCATGTACTAAAAATGTGTAAATCATCTCGTTGGTATTCCAAAGTTTACAAAAAGAGAGAAAAGAAATATATATATATATATATATATATATATATATATATATATATATATATATATATATATAATTTATATAAGAAATATGAATACATAAAATAAAGGACATATGTACAGAATATAGAATACATTACTGTTAGTGCTTCAACAGCACGATAATTCCTGTGATTATGATACGAAAATTTTAAAACAAATCATAATTGATAAAAGAAAAAAAAAAGAAAAATACCTTTGAATCTTCAGTAGTTGCAGAGAAATGATTAGGATGGTTCTTCCACTTTTATGCTTATGTTTATTTATTAATTGTTTCGACGGAAGTCATCAAACTTGAAAATTTAATAAAAATATTCACAGTGAGCATTCTTTCTCTCTGTCTCCCGTACGTACTATTCCATTCTCGCAGGCTCTCATTCACTCGTACTCTCTCTCGCTGACTTTTTTCCCCTCTCACTCTCTCTTTCTCTCTTTCTCTTGCATTCATTTTCATTCTACTACATTCATCTGTTGCCCGCACGGCCGTTAACATTCGTGAGCTGATGCGCATGTTGGGCCAAAAATTTTTTCTTTTTTTTTCTTTTTATCATTGTTAAAGTCATGCCCATCGCCTGTTTGGAGATGGATGGATGAGTGAATGAGTGTATGTATGCGCGTGTGTTGTATATGCGTTGTGTATGCGTGTCTGTTTTATTATGTACGTATGTGTTGCACATCCGTACCTCGTCCGTATCTCGTGTTACTTGATAATGTGTATGTTATGATTGTGTGGTACGATGTATATATACATTCAATTATTAATAATTATTATTAATAACAACAATAATTAATTATTATGAATAAAAAATCATGTTTCCATGTTTAATGACTACGGTCCGAACATTAATTCTCTTCGGAGCACTTACGTCCTACGTTCATACGCAATGAAGTGCTTACTGCAGCAATTCAACGACGTTTTTCTCTTTCTGTCTCACACTTTTTCACTGTATGTCTCTTTTTTTCCCTCGATGTTATATCATTAAAACATACAAATTCAATCAAGTAAAGTCTTTTTCTCTTTTTATTTATCTCTTTCATCCTCTCTTGATTATAATTTGTTTGGTTTCCGTGAAAAAGAAAAGAGAATACCTTAGAATCCTTTCAGGATGTTTTCTTTCTTTCTCTCCTTCTTTGTTTTTCCTAACTGTCTGTCCTATCTAAGGATTCTTCATTCTCAACGTCGAAGCAGCTGCCGATGACAAGAAGACGTGGCTTCGTTTCCAGAAGAAACATGAGCTTCGCTTTCCAGCATGACTTCTTCACTCTCAGGGTGACGTTAAAATTACGATAACAGCGTGATACTTCACACGCGGGGTCGAACCAATGTCGATTGGTTGGTTCGCGCGATTGAATCGCAAATTCAGTCCAGGATAACGACCATATCCTCGCCACGTACCGCCCTTTGCAAATGCGGTGGATGCAGAGGAGCCGACAGTCTGCGCCACGGTTTACGTGCTGCTCTTCGTAATTCCGCCGAAGAAAGAGTTCTTCTGAGTCTTCTGCAATTAAGACAAGTCGGATTAACGCGCGAATTCGTTCTCACACGTGAGACACGTATCGTATCCGCCATATGTAGTGGCAATTACATCTCAAAGTTCTTTTATAGTTATAATACTAACTTGATCTGCTCCGTAGCCCGAAAATAGACATCATCGGGAGCATCCATCCAGGAAATCACTTGTTTACGTGCGTTACTTCGTGATAACGGCGTGTGAGATGGTAGAGGATGTGGATGAGTGGCTCTACCGTTAAGAGGAGGCGCGAGAGGAAGCACAGCTGGTGCGGAGTGTTCCAATGCATGCTTTGGATGCAATTGCTGAGAAAGATGAGCTCTTTTCGCGGGAGGTCCGCTGGGAAGCCCCGTATTCAGGGCGAGACCTAATCATAAGAGAAAATAAAAAAATCTTGCGTTATGATATATTCATCAAAACAAAGAACGTCGTGCTAGTACACTTTGCTTCATGTGTAAATGTCTGAAATGTGGAAATATATTCGCCCTATTTACACCGATCGATTTAATACGCGTATCCCAACTAATAATTTTATACTAAATTATATCACATATTTTTACATTAAATTAATACTAAATTATCTCTTTATTTTATACTAAATTATTTAAGTTTATTTAAACTTTACTTAAAATTTTTTATTTAACATTACTTAAATTTTTTTATGTTATTTTACTTCATATTAAATCATTCTTTTTTTACTAAACTATCGTTATTTAATGCACGTAAACGATCGATATAAACAAGCACATTGTCCCACAATGCATCAACGTGATCCGTCGCGATTCCACATTTTGTGCTTATTTGAATTTGTATTTACCATCTGCAACTATTAGTTTATTTTACGTCGTCACAATCCTTTCCACTGGTTTTCTTATTATTATCATTACTCTTAACATTGGCTGTTAAAAGACGCGCTTTTTTCAAAGCTGTACAATAAAGACGCTTTTTTTACTACGACAGAGTATGGAGGTGTTCTGTAAGTTAAACTTGCTTTCCGACTGTAATATGAAATAAAGGAGGAATTGAAGACCATATAATTTCGTGAACAAATAAATAAATATTGAATTGTGCACAAGTTGCACTTTGGGGAAATTATAAAATAAGCTTATAACTTTCATGACAATCATCATCAGTTACAATTTTATTGAACTTTGACTTTTACCTTTGTCCCAATCCACATCCAGATAGAAGCCGATAAGCAAAGGCAAAATTTAACATATATATGACTCGAAATTTCAATAAAACCCAAATATACACGAATATAATAAGAGTCTGAACGTGAGACTTACCATCTGAACCATTCACTTCATCAAATGGTCTTGTACGTTTCATAATGGTCTGCTGCGTCGGCATGACAGGTTGTGGTTGCGGCGGAGTTATTGCGAGCCTGTCTACCTCAGGCTTGTTAGGCACCCTTTCATAGAGTAAACTACCATCTGTTGCAACAATAGAATCTCATGTTAAGAGAGTACGACGACTAATCATTTCGAGTCGTTCGAAACAAAAGCAAAAGAAATTCCGTAATTAACATGTTCACTACTATACACGGTTTATTTCAGGAAACCTCTCCACAAACAACATTATATTTTATTTTATGCAATTGCATAAAACATACTTTAAATTTCACCCCAAGATTCACAGTAGGGTTCTTAATGATAGTTCTATACTTTAGATGATTGGATCTGAGAGTCTAATTATAATATACTTCGTTAAAACTTACTTTATTTACGTAGAATTAAAAAGACAAATCATCGTTGTCACATATATGTGACATTAGTAGCAAACGTATTGAATGGAATCAAAATTTAATATTTGAGAAATATAAAGAGATGCTCAATTTAGATTCCGGATTAGCGCCACGTTCTTCATGAATTTGTTATTAAAGCATCATGGACGTAAATTTAATTCACTTTTTCAGGGAAAAAAACAAGCTGAAATTGTTTCAAATTGTTCTTCTCTCTCTGAAGAAGTGAACCTAAAGCCTAATCTACAATGTGCTCTTTGCTCTCTGTTTCTTATTCTCTATCTTTTCTAGCTTACAGTTTGATCTACAATGTGTTATTTGCTTCCTGTTTTTTTCTTTATCTTTCTGACTCAAACCTTGAAACCTGATCTACAATATGTTCTTTGCTTCCTGCTTCTTTCTCTTTATCTCTTTAGCCTGATTTACAATATGCTCTTTGCGTGCTGTTTCTAGTCTTCTATCTTTTTCTGACTTAAAGCTTAAAGTTTGAGTCAGAAAGAGATAAAGAAAAAGAAGCAGGAAGCAAAGAACACATTGTAGATCAAGCTTAAGCCTAATTTACAATGTGCTCTTTGCTTCCTGTTTCTTAATTTCTGTTTTTTTTTTATTTAAGGCTAAAATTTGATCTACAATATGTTATTTGTTTCCTGTTTCTTTTTCTTTATCTCTTTCTGACAGAAATCTTAAGCCTAAAGCCTGATCTACAATATGCTGCTCTTCTATTTCTTGTCTTCTATCTTTTTCTGGCTGAAAGCTTAAGGTTTGAGTCAGAAAGAGATAGAGAGAAAGAAGCAGGAAGCAAGGAGCATATTGTAGATCAGGCTTTAAACTAGAAAAAGATAAAGAACAAGAAACCGGAAGCAAAGAGCACATTAGGCTATGTTTAAGTCAAAAAGAAATAAAAAGAAAGAAACAAACAAAGAATACATTGTAAATTAAACTGAAATGTTCACAAAAGATCGGAAACAAACTTACAAAGGACATCAACGCGGAAACTAGAAATGAAAATGTGGAGTAAAGACGAGAGATCAATGTGTTATATATTGATAACGAACGTATTAAATGACTCGTCTATACTCTGTATTGCTTACCAGGTGCTTTAGGTGGCCGAGGGAAAAAGACTCGATCCGGTTGTTTACGCTGTGCTGGTGCAGTCAAAGCCAACCAGTCCCAATCACCAGGTTGTCGCGGAGATGGATGATCACCAAGCCTCGAGGCGATGTCGGTCACACGAGGACGTGGACGTGGCCGTACCGCCCGAGCCAAGATTCGCAATTCGGCCGGGCTCTTGGACGCGAGTTGCGTGCAGAGGTGTCTAAGTGGCGCTGCGTTCACCGGCTGATGAGGCGCCCGTGCTGCGTGACGCGTGCGTAGCTGGCCAGCGCAGAGACGTCGTGAAGCGCGCGCAAGCACCGAGGTGCGTAAATAAAACGCGGATCTTGTCTTCATCACTGGCCGCGGCGATCCACCGCCACCGCCACCACTACCGGCGGGACCACGAAGATCAAGCCCGTGCGCGCTAGCATAGTGACGGCTTAAATGAGCCTTGAGCTTGAATTCTTTCATACATCCAGGAATATTGCATCGGTGAGGTCGGTGTGCGCCGCCCATACCCTTACTCTCTTCGTCAGATCCGGCGCCAGTGCGTTTTCTGTCGAGATCAACGTCGTCTGCTCGAGAGGGCACCTGTTCAACCGTTAGACAAGAAAAAAAAGTCAAGTTAGAGGAATCCTTCAACTTTGTATATCCCGTAGATATTACGTATATTTATCTATTGACGCTTACAGTTCTCATGTATGCGATCTGATACAAGTATGCTGATATAAAGACGCAATGCGTACGTTAATGTTTAGTAGCGAAGTTATAATCGCTCTTCAATGAAAAGTAAATAAATTGAGTCGCAATTAAAAATATGTTGCAATTTTTGTGACAATTTCGAGAATCGTGAAAACTTTATGTAGCTAAGGCCCAGACCCAGACTTCAAGTAGAATTTAAATTCATAAATAAATAAATAAAAACAAATTAATTTAATATAAAAAGTACAAAAAATAAATATAAAAAAAAATATATATACATATAGACATAATCATCTCAGCTTAATGCTCGTTTCTACCAACTTTGGTTAACTTAACCGGCCAGTTATTCCAACGGAATTGACCAATCGCATTTCTCGTTAGTCAGAATTGACAGATACGACTGGTCAATTCCATTAGAATAATCAGTCGGTTAAACCAAAGTTGGTAGAAACGGGCATAAGTCATCAAATTGCAGTTAAAAAGTACTGATTTATTTATTGTTTAATTTTCAAACAAAAACTAGATTACTGTAAACGTGTCTGTTTAACTAATTCGGCTGCAAACTTAGATTCGAACTTAATGTTTCAACTACGGATATTTTGAAAAATCCAAATCCTCAGACAATCCAACTTTGAAACGTCACATATATCTGCTATCCGAATAATCGGGTACCCGAAAAATGTTAGATTCAAACAATTATTGAAGCCTTAATAGTAATGCAGAATTTGCTTATATATTCGTTTATTTAGAACAATATAAACGAACAAATCGATTAGGTATCTCGGGAATATACAGGATATTAATATAACTATTGCTACTTGGTATATCCTATTGCTATATCCTTAAAGCAAAAAAAGCTAGTCTTCAGATCTTCGAAGTTTCTCTTCTTAGAAAAAAACGTCTTATGGCGGTGACACTTTTTTTCTAAGTAACTTCAAAGATCTGAAGATCATCTTTGTTTTTGCTTCCAAGATATTCCAAATGGCGATAGTTACTGACTCACTCTATACGTGTTTGCACATAAATAAGTGTATCTACTGTTGAAATTTCAAGATTAGCTCAAACTTCGGATGACATTTCAAAAATATAAGATTATACACTGGAATTCGTAAATGCCTTACCTTATTCACCATATCGAGACTACTTATTAAACATTTGCACACAAGGCTCATTCTCCTAGATGCGCGTTCATCATGAACTGTTAATTAAAATCGGAAAAATAGCAAAAATGTTTCAAAGCAGCTGATAGTTTTACAGCTTGACGGTCTCGTCAGCAAGGAAGATTATTCGCTCGTGTACTATATATCAGAGTTATAAAAATATTAATTGAATTTTTCTCAATTCAATAAATGATTTGAATAAATATGTTTTAATTCAACTAATTAACGATTGATTCAAGTAAAATTAACCGAAGAATGTTTAATTGATGATTGATTTCAACAAATTCAATTAAAAGTCGTTCAATTGATGATTATGAGCAAAAAGAATCAAAGATTGTCCAATTAACAATTAAACTTAGTAAATTTAATTAAAGACCGTTTAATTAAATTTAGTAAATTTAAAAGTTGTTTAATTGACGATTGATATGAGCAAGTTCAATCGATTTAATCAAAGAACGTTCGATTACTCAGATTGAAATTGATTTTGTGAATAATATTCATTCTCAGAGCATCCTGACATCGTGAAAAATGCCGATAATTGAATAAGACCTAAAAGGAGCATTGAATATGTGAATCGTCACCAAGTTTGATTGAATCGATTAAATTTACTTATATTAACTGTCAAAATTAAACATCCTTTAATTAAATTTGTTAAGTTTAATCGTCATTTAAGCAGCTTTTAATTAAATTTCCTAAGTTCAATTATTAACTAAACAATCTTTAATTCCCTTTGCTCATACCAATCGTCAATCAAACTATTTTAAACTGAATTCGTTGAAACTAATCGAACAGTTTTCGATCCAATATGTTGAAATCAATTTTCAATTAAACAGTCTTCAATTGTATTGGCTTATATTAATTGTCAATTAAACACGATAATTAAAAAGATAAATAATTACTCGCAACTCTCTTACATATAATCAACAGAAAAATTATTTGTGCTTCAATGAGTATATATTTAAAAAAATTATATATTAGCATGTGGATGATAGTTAGAAGATAATACTATAATAATGAAAAAAAAGAGGGAAAATATTGCTTTCTTGATTAATAAACAGTTAGGATAAACGTGTATCTAAAAACGAATTTGTCTGGTCGAAAATATTTAGTAACTCTCAATCTAGGGAATTATCTGGCATTTATGAATTCCAGTGTACATAAGTCTGACAAATATATCAATTATCATCTCTTTTTTCAGACGCATTTATGTTTAAAGGGATTTTCTAATGTGAAGAAGACCCGTTTTCAAGGTGATTTTTGGAAATTAATTTTATGTAAATAATTAAACTTACAGAGTTAATGTTTTGTACTGATATTTATTCATCTTTAAAGAAACATCTCAAATTGTATCAAAACTTTTTATTCAAAATTGGAAAAAATACAAGTGGACAGGTCACGCCGTAAAATCGGGCATGTTAATCGCCGCCGTCCTCGTCATCTGAAATAAACGAATTTGCTTTTATTTTATTCTTTATGAATGTGACTATCGTCCGAATTAGAATCTTTTTGATATTTTTAAAATTACTATTTTTTCGGACCGCGAAAAGTTAGAATTTTTTAGTAAAAATCAGACTATTTTTTAAACACCGTCATTTTGTCAATTTTTCTTTAAATTATTTAATTCTAGTTCGTGCGACAGCCACATTCATAAAAAACAAAATAAAAGCAAATTCGTTTATTTTAGATGACGAGGATGGCCGCAATAAACACACCCGATTTTACGACGTGATCTGTTTCGTTCACTTGTATTTTCTTCAATTTTAAATAAAAAGTTTTGACAAAATTTGAGATGTTTCTTCAAAGATGAATAAATGTCAGTACAAAATATTAACTAGAAGTAGAATGTAGACCAAACTGAGATAACACGCGGCAATTTGACAAATAACATCAATAAGAAGACGAGAGAGAATGTGTTGGGACAGGAACCTGGGTAGCTCAGTGGTTCAGAGCAGTCGCCCGGCAAGCGAAAGACCCGGGTTCGAGTCCCAGCCCAGCAAACTCCGGCTTCCGATATACTTTTCTCTCCGACTCTTACAGTAGGTTTAACCATTTGCTTAAAATTAATTCCCAAAAATCGCCTTGAAAACGAGTCTTTACACTAGAATACCCCTTTAAGAAAAAGGAGGAAAAATTATGACATTGACCGCTGTGTTGATCGTACAAGTTAAATACAAGTTTAATTTATCTAATTACTATAGTTATGGTAAATGATTTTAATCTGAGATATTATATCATTTCATTGGCAATGCAACCGTATTTTTAATTCTAATTAATTGCACTTTATACATAACTTTTAGGGTGCGTTCGGGGAGCTTGCTACCGCGCTATTAACTCTACTATTACACTACAAGTAGCAAGCTTGGTTGCAATTAAGATTATTGGAAATCTACCAATTAAGGCAAACAGTTCAACAAACTACTCGCCCTAATTGGTAGATTTCCAACAATCTTAACTGCAATCGAGTAATGTAATTCGGTCCTAACGCTATCAACTCTGTTCGGAGCCAAAATAGTGCTAGCGAATGCAAGTTCCATGAAAAAAAAATGTAGTGTTAAAGGCCACCATATTGAGTAGTTGAAATTTAACCTACAAATTTTTGTAATTTGGAATCTTGTAATTAGATCTATCTCTGCATTAGATTTTCACATAATTCATTTTTTATATGTAAAGCCAACGTTTACAATCAAAAGTCTAAAACTTAATGTGCAGGAAATAAGGATACACAAGCAGCACAAACAATTCACTACTACTGTTTGGAGAGTTCGCAAACGCTAACGCTACCAATGCATTGTGGAAAAGCGACAGCGTTAGTAACGCGAAATCATGACGTAGAACACTACCGTCAGTGACGTCACGATAATGAATGGTAGTGCTATGAATGGTAGTTGGCTCTCCTAATAGTGGTAGCGCTAAATAACGCTGGTAACGTGTTCCCCGTGTCCAAACGCACCGTTAATAAAATACGATGATATTAACGTTGGTCACCGGTGATCGTCATAGTAGCAAACATGTTAAAAGTTTGTGTCTACGATACTAAAATTCAGCCCGATTTTGTTAGCCATGTAAAAGTTACTAAGAATTACTGCAAATGTTAGTAATTTCAACCAACTTTTATATACAACCAACAAAGTCGGATCGATCCCCAACATTGTCGACACAAACTTTAATATAGGTCTATTCTTTATAACTGCTTAAAGTTAGAGTTTGCATTTAAAATGAAATACAATATTCAACATTTGGTGAAAGGGAAAAAATAGAAAGTTTATACAAAATAGTTTAGGAAACGCAGCTATAAATAACAGACTGTTTTTTTTTTATCACAAGATATTGACAAATAAAAGACGAAAGTCATTACTCATCCAATACCTTAAGACCTCCGTATTTCTTCCAGTATGTCCAACAAGGCTGGCAAAGTCGGTATTGCAAGTGCGAAGGTCCCCATGAATACCACTGCGGGCTCTGCATTATCTGGCAGCTCTCGCATGGCTTGGAGGAGCCGCTACCACCACTGCCGCCACCGCCGCCGCCGCCGCCGCCGACCATCAATATCCCGGAATTTTCGCCGGACATGCTGCCATTGCTATTGCCATTCAGCACGTTGCTCGGCTTGCCGTTACTGTTGCTGTTGCTATTACCCAACGGTACGATCGTCGCGGAAGAAGGGATGGTTGTCGATGCGGGAGTTTTGTTGTAATTCGGTATATATACTTGTTTCAGCTTACTTTCCGCCTCGACCGCCTTTACTCTCTTCTGCTGGACATAGCGATCGGTCGTCTTCCACATATAATAGTACTCGATCACGTTCATCAACGTCTTCCACGGTAACTATAACAGACGTAAGAAACATAAATATTAATAAAACCCGTCAAACAGCTCTGTGCTTTTGCACGTTTGTTTGCAGTTCATTCGTGAAACGCGCACGCTTACAAAGTCAGTTCGTATGTCGGGGAAGTCCTTCCCGTATTTCTCGAGCGCTTCTTCGAACAGGTTTGCCTCGGACGCGCTCCACTCCTCCATCTCGTCTCGACACAACACTGGGCCCGAGCTAGGTACTAGGGACGACATAGCTTTCGCTACGTCGTAGTTGTGTCGGTGCAAAGTGTCCATCGCATGAAACTGCAAAACATTTATAAGATTTAATGAAACTGCAATTCTAGCACTGCGCCTCAAGCTTGTCTTGACGTAAGTAAAGAAGAAAAACAAATCTACATATCTGTCTGCTAAGTGTGCCGCCTGAGCTCTCTCTATTTTTTAAATCATTAAATGCAATGTCATTATGTATGCAATATTACGAGAAGCATGCTATATAGGGAACGACACTCACTAGGGTGATGTCTCTAGAGGCTGCAGCCGCTGACATGTGTAATGACGGTTGTTTGACGGAGGACGAGCAGTCGAGGGCTCTCGCGAAAGTTCCGACTGATCTGCTGACCACGAGGAACTGATCGATTTGACGATCCGTCAAATTGTGCCGTGGTGTCCACACCAGCGTCTCCAAATCTTGTAACCTGCGAGAATCCGCTTCCCTCTCCGCGGGTGACAAAACAGTGGCCGCGATACCGTCGGCTTGATATCTGCTGCCCACTCTTATTTCACCTTTTGGAACAAATGTTGGTTTTTCATATCAGTTGTCACATTTTTACATCACATTTTATATCAATATCACTAGCACACAGTAGTAAACTAGTAACACAGTAATACACTAGTATCAGTTGCTCAGTGGAATTCAATGAGACGTTTTCAACCCACTTATTAAACCGGTAAGCTTTGCTCCTGTCTTTCCGCAATTTAAGTCGACTCAGTAGCTGCTTATTATTGTTTATAATCAAGTATTTTTCAGACTGAAAGGTCATGCAGACGGATACTCGATGATCAGAGATTTTTGTGAGATTCGCTCTCGAAAAAATCGCTGACCGATTTGGCATCATACGCGTTCACTGGGATCACGTAAAATCCCACAGGATATTGTGGACAACATTTATAAAGCACAAAATGTCGCAGGCAATCTTGTTTAAAGATTAATAGCAGAGTGTTTCTAATATATGATATCCGCAACGATGTAAAATACCAGTATAATTTCACAATAACATAAAATAAATATATCATATCGTATAGGTATTTTATAAGATACTCACCTCTGTCGGCCAGCAAAGTCCGTTGAGCAGGATCAAATACTAAACAATAAAAAAACGAATCCTCCTTGTTTAAGTAGCTTAGTAAGGATTCGGTTTCGTTTAGTAACGTCACGCAGCATTTGCCCCGAATATGCGTGGCTGGCATTGTTTCCACTTGCCGCGACAGGAAGAGTTCCCGATGCTTCATTTGGTGACGCTGTTTAGTACTTAATTCCGGCACTCCTCCCGGGCCCACGGTGTCGTCCAGCCCTATACACCACAAAACAATCAAGATGATATACTATATTGTTCGCACGCGCGTGTGGCGTGAGATAGAACTCGTGTATAAAAATCGACATAAGTCTGAATTTATATGAATAAAAAACAGAAGAAATTATATATATACACACACATATTGCACGTTGTTTGCAATGAAAAAGTTAAAAAAGCTGAAGAATAAAAAATATCGTAAAGTAACTGGACTAATTTCGCGACTAATTACAAGTCTCGAGACTTTTTCAGTACGGACTCTGCTACATTCTGTTGATCCAATCGTCGTCTGAACGCGGCATCGTACACGGCGGATGATTTCTCTCTTACTTTTTACGCTAAGGATCGATCTCGTGAAGGAATGCACGGGAAAGTAATGCAATAAACGATGGGACGCCACGATGCATCATGTCTGTGCGAATACAAAAGATAATACACGATTAGAGGAACACAATCACACTTGAGCACCCACCGAACGGGAGTTATCGCCATCTTTCTCTCGTCTCGCTTATACACTGAGAGAAAGAGTATCTAAAGAATAAAAAAATATTCGCAATAGGCATTAATAACGTATTCACCAAAATACCTCAATTCTTTTATTTATTTAATTAATTATTTATTTATTTAATTAATTATTTATTTATTTAATTAATTATTTATTTAATAGTATATTTTTTCATTTAAAATAAATTTCCTCTTAATGCAAAAATATTAGTACAAGAGTAAACATGTTATTAGTACCCATCAAACAAATGCTTCTTAATCTCATGGATATTTTTCCTCTCAATGTAAAGTTTTTCCTTTCTTTCCTCTCTCGACGCCATTCGACTGGCAACAAAATTTATACGAGGTAACGGTTAACTAACGAATTTCTAAGTATAATAATGTTTGGAAAAGGCTCTGAGATTTTCATAAAAGTTAACTAAACGTAAGGGGCTTTTAGAGCCATACGTTGAGTACGCTTTATTTATATCAATTTGAATTGTTAGATGTATCATATGTAAACATTTTCGTCCTTCTTTTAGGGCTTTCTTTAGTGTATATATAAAATTATAAATGCGCAGACTTAATAAATGCCTCAAAGAGATATATCAACATGGAAGATATCAAGATATATCAACGATATATCAACATGGAAGATATTGTTTAAATATGATGGAATTCGATCATTGTTCCAGTGTTTACATAAAAAAAAAGTCCGCAAAAACGCCTTTATGATCTTACCGTCGATGTCTACCCATTTCTTAATATCCCGACTAAAGATCTGCGATGTATAATTAAATAACTTATTGGATATAAAATAGTTGTTACGCATTCTAGCGCTAATATCTTAAAGTACAATATGTTTGGAAAAGGCTTTGAGATTCTTATAAAAATCAACAAAATTGTAAACGGTTTCCATGTGAATGTTTAAATGATCTAATCCTGTCATATTTAATCTTCCGTATTGACGTATTTTTTAGACATATTTGAGTCTGCGTATTCATAATTGTATATATACACCGAAAAAGGTGTCCCAACGAGAACTGAAACGTTTGTGGTTGTGCATCAACGTTTGTACAATGTTGATGCCCAACAATTTAAATTAATAGAAACAAAGAGTACTTATACCCAAAGCATGGTACTTACAGACCCTTTACGATTTAGTTAACGATTTTTAGTTAACGAATTTCTTTCTCATATTTTCGCGATTCTCTCACGGGTTCTTCACCGATCTAATATCTTCGATTTCACGCGTGTCGATTGGTCGCCTGCTAATCTCTCGCACGTAGCCCGACGTGCTGCTCTCCGTGCACGCCGCTCTCCCGGGTTAAATCGAACGATGGAAATGAAACGCAGGATCTCGGTCGCGTGAGCGACGATGTACCGAACCAAACAGGCAGAAGAACCAAAAAAAAAAAAAAACGAAAGAAAGAGAAGAAGAAGAGACACCAGCAAGAGCGGGCAACGTAAAAGGTAAACAACAATCTGCAACGGAAAGGTGAGATTAACTGCCGACAGAGAAAATCTACCTCATTCAAAGAAGCCTCAGATTACTAAAGTATCGTCATACGAAGCGGCGGGATTTTTCTGTGATTGTGTGTAGATGACACGAGTGAGAGAAATGACGAGTGAAAACGCATACGTCGCGATAGCTCGCCTCCCTCCCCCCCGTTCGCGATTTCGACGGAGAACGCGACCCAGGTAGCCGCGCCACCTTGGCGCTGCGCCTTCAGGAGATCGCGAACCCTTCTGGAAATCGGCAGACCGCCATGAAAGGCGCACGGCAACAGAGCAAACGGTAGAAAATCCGCTGGCCGGAAGAGACTCGCGTTTCCGACCAGGATCACGAACGGGCTTCGCGTGAATTCACAGCTCCCCGAGATCGTCGACGCGATAGAGACAGTAATGATCACTCGAGATCGCGAGGGCAGACAAGAGATGCTTGACGAATAAAAAGAATCCACGAGATCGCGCAGTTCTAAAGATAGAATGTTCAATCAGACGCGGGCGATATTAAGCAAGTATCTATCAATCGTTATCGCGTCCACGTACGCGTGCATGAACACACGTACGCGGATTTGTGTACGAGTTCCTGTGCGAGCGAGCGATCGCGAGCGCAACGTGCATGAATGAACGAAGCGCACATGTGTGGGCACCCACGTGAGAAAAAACCGCCGAGGCCCATGTCTTCAAACTGAACAGAGAGGAGCCCGGTTATGCCCGATTGTGTTTGTTGTCTCTTTGGCCTTACAGTGAAACTTGCCTTGACGTACGGCAGACACCAAGATTACAAAGATTTTGGCAAATCCCGCCGCTAAATCGGTAGCCTTGTATCATCACTGGCTTCTGCATGAGACTAATGAGATAATCAAAAGATGCAAATCACGTGTGCCATTCACTGACGAATCCACATCCCTGCATCGCGTGGCAAAGTATCACACGTCGCGGTTCTCATACCGGCATAATTCCGCGGCATAATTTCGAGCGAAACGCGAGAGATCGCCGTGTATGTGTGTGTGTACGCTCGTGTTAAAGGAGCGCTGATCGCGGAGACTCGATACTATCGATTAGCATTCATCTATAACATAAATACATCGTCGCGGTCGGTATCCACGTTCAAAGCTGGCGTTTGACGTTTGAACACGGGCAGTCGGAAAGTCGCGTTTGCCGGCCGGCCGGCGAATCTCATTCTATCACGAATAACACAAAGAGTCACAATTAATTACATTCAATGGCGCGTTTTGCGACAGTGTACACAGACCATGCGTCGCGACCGAGAGATCACGTATTCGTTGCGCGTGAGGAGAAATTATCTTGCAGGTGCAGCTCGCCGACTAGATTCATCGGTAATGGTCATCTTTTGATCAACTACTCACTCACCATGGGGCTCTTGGGCCTCCGATAATGGGGCCTTCAGCCAGCCCCCTTTCCCGCCCCCTTTGATCATCACTTTAGGCCCGATCCCATCTTTACTAGTCATTTCCTTAGTAGTGTCAGGGTTCTCGAGTTTCTGATTCTGCGTGCTCGCAGGGGATTCTGACCTCTGTTGCTCCGCGCTTGCCACTGGAATTTTCATTACAGAAACCCACTCTACTATTTCACGTTTTCTAATTTCCTCTACACAATACACGCTTGGAAAGATACACGACCATACAGTACCACCTGAGCCCTTTACGAAACTCTAAGAGCATCGCACGAATCGTCTATCTTATACGTTTTCGTCCGTTTCTCTCTCTCTCTCTCTCACTCTTTTCGCTCTGTTCTTATTACACACACACGCGCGCGCGCACGCACACACACACACCCACACACATATACATACATACATACATACACACACACATATATGATATACTCCTATCATGTATCCTATCCCTCTGTAATTCCTATCAATAGTTAGAATACAATTTGACAGGCGCATCACACAATCGCATGTGTGCGCCGTATGTTTGTCATGTATGTGTGTATATAAGTTTGTGCTATGTACGTACGACTCACAACTCTGATTATCTCAGCCAATTCCATCCGCGTTTCTATTTACCATTCATAGCTCCACGGCCTGTATTTTCATCCGCGGCGTGCGAGATCAATACCTCGCGCCTCACGTTGTCGAGTGACTTGAGTGAGCGAGTGGATCAAAATATCCGCGCTCGAGCTGGATGATACCAATGCTCGATTTTCGGACATGCATAATACGTGATGGTGCGGGTTGGCGCTGCTCGTAATTAGCGCCCGTGCTCTCGCTAACGCGAGAGCAGAGGACCGCAGAGAGAGAGAGAGAGAGAGAGAGAGAGAGAGAGAGAGAGCCGCACGCTCGTCTTCTTGCCGAGCGCGCGCGCTACCCGTGCTCTACGTGGTGCGCGCACCACTGTCGAGACAACGGTGAGGGAGCGAGCGCATGCAAAGCAAAACGAAAATTATCGCACTCGGCGAGTACTGTTTTTCGAGCCCGCGGCCGCGCCGGTCGATCGTGCCGCGCAAAACGAGACAAAAGTTTATTACGGTCGCGCTCGGACGGACTTTTGCCATCGGCGTCTAATTAGCCGTTGATTTTTCAATGCGATCCATAAGCGGAGAAGAGCATGCCCGGTGACTGGACCAAAACCAATTTCTGTATAAAGCCTCTCTTCCTTTGACCGTTCCCTACCGTCCTCCTCCTCCTTCTCCACCCTTTCGCACCTCCCCTTTCCCCAGCCCATTCCGCCCTCCGCTTTTCGTCCCTGCGTTGCCCCGTTGTTGCAATCACACACACGGACACCATCCGTAGATGCGTGTGTATCGACTTCCGCAAAAGACAAAGGAAGCGAATATTCTTTTTTCACGAAAATTCGAGATACCGAAGCGCAAGGTTCTAGAGAGAGAGAGAGAGAGAGAGAAAAAAAGAAAGAGAGAGAGAGAGAAAGAAAAAGAAAGAGAGAGGGAGGAAAGGAGAGAGAGAAACAGAGGGAGAGAGTGTGGCAGAAAGGGGAGAGAACCCAATTCGGAGCAAATACCGCCGGACGAACGCATATACATGGACAAGTCGTTACATACACACGCGCGCGCACACACATACAAACACACACATGCACACACATACGTACACGGAGCAGACAGACAGGGATCGGACGCACGCGCGCGCGCGCGAGAAAGAGAGACGCACACATATACACGTGTACGTGGCGCGAAAGAAGAGAGGTGCGGTAGCGGAGGGGAATTCGACGCCAGGGGGACGAGAGAGCAGAGTAGTAGCAAATGCTTAAAACGAAGATGGCTAGTGGGGCCCACCATTTTCGCCCAAGCACACACACGCACGTGTCTGTGTGTGTGGAGTGCGTGTGGAGTGTAGCAGTCTGTGTGGGAAATACACGTAACATATACCCAAGCAACCCCTGCGTCAGCCATCCATTTAGTTGAGGGTGGTGGGTGGGAAAGGTGGGTGTGGGGAGGAGGAAGAGGAGGAGGAGGAGGAGGATGAAGAGGAGGAGGGCAGGGAGGTAGATGGAGATGGAGGAGGATGAGGAGGTGGAAAAGGGGGACCTAGCGGGTGCACACCAGAGTGGCCCCCCTCGCCCACCCCCAGGCAGATCGATACAACACCCCCGACTCCCAACCCGCCACCACCCCCGCAACTTTACTTATTATACATTCCCACCCCAAATCCCCGCGTCTCATTATCTTTGTCATTGCGAAAGGAAAAATCGAGAGACGCCCCTAGATAAACGTGTGTGTGCGTGTGTGACGCGTGGCTGGGCGACGCGGAAATGGATTCGGACGTATGCGTGCGTTCACGCGATGGTCTCCTGGGAGAACACGGCCCTTTTCCTTCTTATCCTCCTTTGCTCGGATTTTCCACGTTCTTCGAAACGAACGAATCGTCCGCCGAAAACACACGCGCAACCGCGTCGTCGCGAACGGAACAGTCGCCACGATGATTATTTCTGCCGAACGCGCGCGCCAAGAGAGACGCTTCTCTCTGTCTCGTGGCCCCGAAAATTGCGTTTTGCCGCCTTCACATTTCTCACGCGAAATCGATCGATCGAGGGAAGAGAACGCGCGAAAGAGCGGTTTCGGTACAACGGGAGAACATACACCTTTCTCCGACAGAAATCTCTCTCTCTCTCTCTCTCTCTCTCTCTCTCTCTCTCTCTCTCTCTCTCTCT